TATTTTAGGAGTTTCCTCCCCACTGTCCTGTGACCATGGCAGATATGTCCATACCCTTACATTCACTACAATTCAACAACATGATACGGGAAGAAAATGCTGACACCTCAAACAGCGAAATGATCTTGTCTAGATCAATGACCAGACCAGAGGTCCAAATGATAGATTCTCCTGTGCAGTTGCCTATAGTCTCAACTTCAGCCACAGACCCTGAAGAGATGTCTATACAGCCAATGACGTCCCCAGCCTTTGACACTATGTCTGAAATTTTAACGGGAGCACCAAACTCTGGAGCATTGTCCCCAACACTAATGCCAGCCTCAGATTCTGGGACACTGTCCCCATTGTTAATGCCAGCCTCAGATTCTGGAACATTATCCCCATTGCTCATGCCAGCTTCAGATTCTGGATCACTGTCCCCATTGCTGTCCGCTTCAGACTATGGGTTAATATCCCCAGGAGTGATAACAATTCCTGATTTTGGAATGATGTCCACAGCACAAATGGCAGCAACAGATTCTGCAGAGATATCACCATTGGCAATGCCAGATTTGTCTTCTGGAGTGCTGTCTAAACCTATAATGAACAGTTCATCCTCAGAGACAATGTCCACACCATTAATGCTAGCACCAGATCCTGGGGAGCTGTCACCATTCCTAATGTCAGATGTAAACCCTGAAGTGATGTCCACACAGGCAGTACCATCTCCAGGTTCTGAAGCAATGTCCCCATTGCAAATTACAGATGAAGACACTGAAGCAATGTCCCAAGTGCTAATGACTGCTCTAGCCTCTGGAGACATATCTTCACTGTTAATGTCAGGCACAGACTCTGAAGTGATATCCTCACTGATAATGTCAGCCTTAGGGTCTCAAGAAACATCAACCCAGCCAACAAGCAGCCAAGACTCTGGGGGAATATCCACCCCGCTCATGTCAGGCCCAGACTCTGGAGTAATGTCTTCACTACTAATGTCAGTTACAGACTCTGAAACAATGTCTACACTTCCACTGTCAGTCTCAGATGCTGGAGAGATGTCCACATTACCAAATCCAGCCTCCAATGCTGAAGCAATGTCCCCTCTGCTCATGACAGCCCTAGCTGCTGGAGTGATGCCCACCCAACTGATGCCTGCCCTGGGCTCTGGGGAGATGTCTCCACAATTAGCACAAAGTCTAGATTCTGAAATCATGTCTACTCCACCAATGACAGCAACAGCCTCCAGGGTGATGTCCACACTGACAGTGAGAGCTTCAGACTCTGGAGCAATGTCCACACCACTAAGAGCCCCAGATTCTGGACATGTGTCTACACTACAAAAGATAGTCTCAGTCTCCAGAGCAATGTCTACTCCACTGGAGACAGTCACAAGCTCCGGAGAAATGTCCACAGAGCAAACATCAACCACAGCCTTTAGAATGATGTCCACAGAGTTAACAATGGACAACACTCCTCAGGCAAGGTCTGCCAGCTTTATGAAAGCCATGGCCAATGGAGCAACGTCTACCCAGCAAATGAGATCTCCAGACTCTGGAATGATGTCCATGCCATTAAGGAGGACCACAGTTTCTGGAGTTATGTCCATGGAGCCAATTATGGCTCCAGCCTCTGAAACCATGTCCATGCCACAACTGACAGCTCCAGCCTCTGGATTAATTGCTCCTCCCCCCATGCCTATGCTGAAAATGAGAGTCCCTGTCTCTGGAGCAATGTTCACATCACAAATGAGAACCACAACCTCAGGATTGACATCAACACCACAAATGAGAGCCTCTGGTGCAGTGTCCACCCCACTAATGACAGCCAAAGCCTCTGGGTCAATGTCAGCACCATTAACGAGAGACACAACCTTGGAGGTGAAGTCTATGCTGCAAATGAGAGCCCCAGCCTTTGGAGCCTTGTCCAAGCCACTAATGACATCCAAAGACTCTGGAGCAATATTTAGTCAGCTGATGACAACCACAGGTTCTGGAGGGGTATCCACCCCACTAATGAGAGACACAACTTCTGGAGCTCTGTCCATGCCTCAAGTAACAAACACAACCTTTGGAGGAATGTCTACACTGCTAATGAGTGCCACAGCCTCTGGAAAAATGCCCCCCTCACAAATGACAGCCACAGCCTCTGGATCTATGTCTACACCACTAATTACACCCCCAGGCCCTGGAAAGATGTCTAGTCAGCCAATGAGCATCCAAGACACTGGAGGGATGTCACTCATGAGATCCATGACCTCTGGAAGGATGCAAATGAGAGCCTCAGCCTCTGATGCACTGTCCACACCAACAGTGAGTGCCTGGGCCTCTGGGGCAAGGTCCACACCACTAATGAGAGCTTCAGACTCTGGAGAGATGTCTACACTGCTCACAAGAGCTTCATCCTCTGGAGAGATAGCCCTGCCACTAATCACACACCCAGTTTCTGGGGAGATAGCCGCCCCTCTGAGACCTCCAGTTTATGGAGCAATGTCTGCCCCACCGATGAAAGAGCATCCAAGACACTGGAGGGATGTCACTCATGAGATCCATGACCTCTGGAAGGATGCAAATGAGAGCCTCAGCCTCTGATGCACTGTCCACACCAACAGTGAGTGCCTGGGCCTCTGGGGCAAGGTCCACACCACTAATGAGAGCTTCAGACTCTGGAGAGATGTCTACACTGCTCACAAGAGCTTCATCGTCTGAGGAAATCCCCCTCCCACTAATCACACACCCAGTTTCTGGGGAGATAGCCGCCCCTCTGAGACCTCCAGTTTATGGAGCAATGTCTGCCCCACCGATGACAACCACAGCCTCTGGAATGATGTCCATTCCACAGATAAAGTCTCCAGTCTCTGCAACAATGTCTACACCGCTAATGAGATCAATAGCCTCTGGAGGGATGTCCGTGCCACTGACAAGAACCCCAGCTTCTAGAGTGACCTCTGTACCACAAATGATGCAGACTTTCTCTGGAGACAAATGCACTCTACCAATGCGAGCTGCAGCCTGTGGAGGGATGTCTCCACCACTGGTAAGAGTTCCAGATACTGAGGCTGTGTCCATACCACTAAGGAGACCCTCAGAGAGTCTCCATACCCCTCTGCCCGTAGAGTTATTGAGCGATCCAGCCCCTGGAAAGATGTCCACAGCAAAAATGATAGTTATGGCCTCTGAAGGTATGTCCAAACCATTAATGAGAGCCACAGCCTCTGGAACAATGTCCGTGCCTTCTGTGTCTACCTTGGCTTCTGAAGAGATGTCTATACCGCTAATGAAAGCTTTGGCCTCTGGAGCCATATCCACACTGCAAACTGGAGTCACAAGTTCTCATTCTATGTCCTTGCCAGAGATGACATACACAGCTTCTGGAGGGATAGCCACAGCACAAATGAGAGCCTCAGCTTCTAGGACAATGTCCTCACCATTTATGAGAAATTCAGCTTCTGGAGCAATGTCCATTCCACTACTGAGAGCCACAGCCTCTGGAGGAATGTCCATACCACAGATGACAGCCATGGCCTCTGAAAGGATGTCCACACCACTTGTGAGGGCTCCAGCCCTAGGAGAAATGTCTATACCACAAACAGCCTTTAGAATGATGTCCACTCTGAAAACTGAAGTCACAGACTCTGGAGAGGCATCTACTGCTTACATCAACACAACAGACTCTGGATCAAGCTCTACAGCTCACATGACTGCCACAACCCCTGAAATAAGGAATCTACCACCAAAGGAAGAGCCATCATTTGGAATGTTGACTCCAGCACTCTGTTACCTCTTAGAAGAGCAGGAAGCAGCCCGAGGGTCATGCTCTCTAGAAGAAGAGATGGAAATTGATGAAGAGAAGCAAATTAAGGGGTTTTTGGATGATTCAGAGAAAATGGCATTTCTGGTGTCTCTTCATCTGGGAGAAGCAGAGAGGTGGTCCATCTTGCAGATGGAGGTAGGAAATCCCCTCTCAGATGAAAATAAATCTTTCCTGAGTAGATCACAGGGCTTGTATGATTCCCTGTCTGAGATAGACATCCTCAGTGCTGTTCTCTGCCATCCCAAGCAGGGCCAGAAGTCAGTCAGGCAGTATGCCACTGACTTCCTACTCCTGGCTCGACATTTGTCTTGGTCTGATGCCATTCTCCGGACCAGGTTTCTGGAAGGACTCTCAGAAGCTGTTACCACCAAAATGGGTAGGATCTTCCTGAAGGTGGCTGGGAGCCTAAAAGAACTGATAGACAGGTCTCTCTATACTGAGTGCCAGCTGGCTGAAGAGAAGGATTCCCCAGGCAACTCAAGCCAGGTTCTGCCGACAGCCTGTAAGCGGAATAATGAGGAGGCCATGGAGGATGAACTGAGTGCTCAGCAGCAGACTGAAGAGGTAAAAATAAAGAAATGCACTCAAGGTTTTTAAGCAGAAAAATGGGGAGGTAATGATTGGTAATACATCCTATTCCTTTGAGTAGAATAAGAAAGAGGCAAGGGGGAAACATTAAGCTTCTAGAACATTCATGTCAGCCTGGAGTTTCATCAGCAAACATGACTCTGTAGTTACTTTGAAGTATTAATCATTTTGAAGAGCAATGTCCTACCCACGTTATTGAGGGCCTGGGATGGTTAAAGCTCTAGGTTTTCTAATTATGAGGGAACTCTTTGGGATCTATTCCAATTCTCCACTTATTCCAAGTTCAGTCTTAAGGGAAAGGTCTTTTTTGCGTGCTAGGGTTCCCCTACAGCCACGTGTGTTGTGGACTTAAGTCAGTAGGGAATATGGCCAGTCTAGTCCTCATTCAGGTCACACTTTACACAAGTAATATAAACTAGCCAGGTTCCTTGATCTGCTAACTTACTCATGTTATTCAGGCAGAATATCTTTTTTTTTTTTTTTTTTTTTTTGGAAATGTGGCTCTTACCTCTGCTTTGTTTTTCTCAATCCCAGCATCAACATGTTTCCAAACGCTGTTGCTACCTGAAAGAGCAGGGAGATCCACAAGAGGGTCTTCATGAACACCTTCGACAGAGCACAAGCCATCAGATGTCTCCCACCAACAAGTAATGCTCCTTGGACTCTTTTCCTGTGATATCTGATTCAGCTGCTAACTTGAGAATTGGTTCCTGGACCCATTCCACTCAACTACATCATAAACCTTGTTGCCTTCACCCTCCAGTGTCCCCCTCCACGAATATCCCATACTATTTCCCACTTGGCTGACTTGACCTTCTCTTTTACCTACATGCCTGTGACCTGCCCTGACAATCAGAGTGTAAACTATAAGAATGTATGGTGTATAAGGTTCTGAACTCCCACTGTCATCAATGCTAGTCTTTACCCAGAGAGAAGTCTCGGCAGCAGAAATCATGTCCTACCTCAAAAATACCTTATTGTGTCTTGCCACATATCATCAGGCAAACTTGAGGAATCCCTTGTTTCATTTCACCTGGCAGGGGAGCCTGTAATGACAGTGATGCCTACTTCTATATCACCCTTTTTACCCAGTAGACTTGTCCTTATATGTCCCAACTCATTCCACCTAAAATGGGTCTCCAGGGCCCTTGCCCTGTTCATAATCTCCATTGTGAACCATTCGTTTTGAGTTATAAAAATAATAGTGATAGTAATGGTTAACCGTTATTGATAATGTACTTTGTGACAGGTCCTGGGATAAACTCTTGATAAGTACTATACTACTACCATCTTAGAGTAACCCAACTTATTCTTGTGTTATCAGCTTCTGACCTCTTGATCTGTTGTTTATGGTCCTTGTCTTGTCCCTCAGTATAGAATCTCTGGCTCTGATCTTTGGGTGATCCCCTCAGTTGTTAATTTCCCTCACTTTCCTTGGCCATTGTGCTTCATGGCCAACATTCTTGGTAAGGGTCTTGGTCTCTAAACAGGCAGAGCTAGGACATAATAAGAGCAGTGTTTGCCTTCAGGTGGTGGACTTATGGGTGTTTTTTATTTTCTTCTTTCTACTTCTACTTTCCAGATTATCTATAGTAAGCATGTATTACATTTGTAATTGTAAAAATAAAGTTCGTTTGTGGAAAAAAAATAATTAACTGTGTCCACTAGAATCTGATTTATTGGGTCCTTGCTTCAACCAGTATTTATTATCTAACATGTGTCAGCCACTGTTTTGGGGACAGGCAGGGAAGAAACTGCATCATATGAAAATTCCATTTCAATAGAGGGGGAAGCAGATACTTAGCAAGAACACATTTACATAAGATATATTGAAATAGTGTTGAAGATTATGAAGACAAGTGAAAAAAGGGAAGCATTTGATACAGATAGGGAAAATCTATTTATTCAGTAATAGTTCATATAATTGAGTTACTCAAAGATCTTTTAAAAACAGTAGGAAGTGACATGATTAGAAATATATTTTATGAAACTAACTTAGCAGCAGTTTGAAGCCAGTGTGGAAGAAGGGGTGTGAGAGAAGTTGAGCCCTCTATTGTAATCATCACACGGAATGACTGACCAGATGACTCAATCAAAAGGGGAGGCGGTAGGGATAAAAAGACAGGGACAAAGACCAAAACCCCTTTGAAGATTCAAGTCTCCTGCTCCATTACCCTAAACATTGGGTCTGATACCAGAAAGAGAACAATGATTCTCAGGGAAAGCAAAGATTGACAGACAAATTTGCAGCCCCATGATATTGTACATAAGACTCTGGTTCTGCAGGTTGCCTTCGGCTGCCTCAATCCTTAGTGCTAATGCATCAGGAAAAGAGGTGCAGTAAGTTGGGAATACAAATTCCAGGTGGGGAGATGACTGGCCTCTGGGGACACAGCATTTCCCCTCTTCTCTGGACCTGTTGTCTCACACTTGGCCCAGTTCTGACTTGAGCAGAGTTTGGATGTCCACATTTAGACAGGAAAATCACTGTCATTTCTCTTAGCTTGGAAAATTACTATTGCGTTTTCTTCCTACTAAAAAGAAATTTTTGATATAGAAGTACAATTCATTACTGGAAGATGTATGCAGTAAGGAAAATGCCTTAAAAATGAAATGAATTTGCTCAGGGCCATGATATAATGGAGACCAATAGTAATTCTTTTCTTTCTTTTCCTTCTCAGCCATTCTTCTTACTTTTACTTTTGCCTCCCTGCTCCTTCAAGCTAACATTATTAGAGATAAATGGAACAAATGAAGCCTAATCATACCCTGCCAGATCTCAGTCCCTGTCCTACTCCACATGAAGGTTATATTTAGAAATGTTTCAAGAGCCACTCAGCATCTACATGGAACTGGGCTATCATATGCCCAAGCACTTGAGACAATTTCATCTGCTGTAAAATGGTGTTTCAAGTTTCTCCAAGTCTCACCAGCAAATGCGTAAAAGTAAGGTCCACTAAGGAGGAAAAACTCAGATATCATGGACTCCTGTTTCCACCTATGTGTTACAGGACCTTGATCCCTTGGAGGTTTCCTCCATTTATTTGTGGAAGATCCCAGCAGTTTTATGTACTCATAGATATTCCTCTCCTGTTGTTTGACCTCTACCCTTCCTCACAGTGGTCAGTGGTCCAGATTGCTACTTGAAGGTAGTACCTCTGCCCTGCTCCTACTGCTGGTGTCTGCTTCTGGCTATAGGAACACAGAAGCCATAGCTAGGGTGGGGCATTAATTCTGGGGTGTTCACAGTTATCCACCCATGAGGGCCCTGCCATTTCTTTCCTGTGGCATTTACAGAAGCAATTGATAAGTTCACCCAGAAGGGTTGGAATTCTCCTTTCAGTTTTGTGTGATACTCTCTCATCTGGACCCTGAAATAGCATTGCTTCTACTTTACATCTCAGTGAGGCCCCTGTGAGAAAAATGGCTTCAGCTTCTTCCTATAGCAACATCTTCCCACTCCAACTCAAATTTTCAGATTTAGTTCCTGTGCTTGGAGAACAAACGCCCGGAGATCCTCTACCCAGATGCACTCTCATCCCCCATTTTTTTTTAACCTTGTCTGCATTCCTGTCCTCCAAATTATTGTGAATCCACATATCTTTTCTTTCTTTCTTTTTTAAAGAATTATTTAATTTTATTTATCATAATTACATCATTATTGACCAGATAGAGAGAGAGAGATGGAAAGCGAGAGAGCAACCACCAAGTGTGGGACTTGAATCATGGTTGGCCATTTGAAAGTCTAGCCTGTTAACTACTATGCCACCTGTCAGCCCCCACACATCTTTTCAAAACCACTTTATTCCACATAAAGGATGCCGGAAAACTTCTCCACACATCCAGTCCTTGCAGTATAGCTAGAGAACAATGCCACTTTATCCTGTTCCTCTATCCTGCCATCCTCTCACCTACTACCTGCTCTGTCTCTATCTGATCTTCAAGGACCAGTAACATATAGAACCTTCTCTTGATGATTACTGTCCTCATACAAGTACAGGTTTGAGCTACTGCTGAATGATAGGTACCTCAGACAGTCCCCAGATATTTTTGAGTCTCACTTTGGGCTCTGTCAGGATCCTACTACACTGGAATACCAAGATTAGGTCAAGTGAGGGATGCTTTTCCCCCATTTCTTTCATAGATCATTGCTCAATACCTTGAGGCACTCTCAACCTTATTATCCAATGAGAATATTGCAAATAAAATAAGTTGCTCCGCTTCAGAGATATAAAGAGATTTTGCCACCATGGATTATGTTTCCTTCCTTCTCACCTGGTTTGAAATCTCTGTGCCACTTGGACAGTTGAGGCACAGAGGAAGAAAATTGTTAGGTCACTTATGACTACATGGAAGACTGACACAAAAATAGATACTGTAGGAGGTTGAAATCACGCATGACAGGGAAGACTTGACTTTGAGCACCTGTCTATCCTCCAATAAGCTGGATAGTTTTAACCAGGTCACTTTACTTTTCAGAGCCTCAGTTTCCTCTTCTCCAAAATAAGAATAATGATCATAGTTCTGCTAATCTTATAGCATTATGGGATAAAAGTTGTGAACATTTTTGGACAAATCAAGTGTAAGACATACAAATGTAAGATCTTATTATTTGTTGAAGGGAACCAAAATATGCCACATCAAAATATGCCACTTTGGCATTAGAATTATTTTGAGCTGACAGCAATTAAGACATAATAAACATATTTTAAAAAGTAACAAAGAAGTAAAAAATGCAGAAAGAACTCTTTGCCCTCCCTGCATCTGCATAAAAGCAGGACATAAATTTCTCTTTGTGAAGGTGTTCTCTATTCTCCTATACCATTAAAAAAGAGACAGAAAGCCTGCACTGAGATGAGTCTGCAAACTTTTCTAAAATAACCCTTACACTCCATTAGTTTTCCCCATATATTTACCTTCACACAATTTATGGACTCCCTAGAAGCTCAATGCACTTTTCCTTTGTCTTTTTTTTGAAAAGTTTTTGCTATAGGGTGCATACGCTCACCAGACAGACAGAGAGAGACAGAGAGATAGAAAGCGAGAAATCACCCCCCAGGGGGGATGGCCATGCCGCAATCCCTTCTCCTCCATTCTCCTCTCGGGATCTTGGGCATGCACGCACACACACCCGGCGTGAGTTTTAAGCCACTGGGTCCGGGACGCGAAATGCGGTCGACTACGTGGGAACCCAGCGACATAGCCATTACACTAAGTGCTGGTCCCTTCCTTTATCTTTTTAAAAATTTGTTTTATATCTAAGTAATAAGTGAATACAGTAAAGTGGCAGTATACAAAATCAACATCCAAAACTCTATAGCATTTCTATATATGAACAACAAGTTGAATGAGGTAGAGCTGAAGAAAGGAATCCCTTTCATCATAGCCACAAGATGTATAAGATACCTAGGGATAAACCTAACTAAGGAAGTGAAAGACCTTTACAAAGAAAACTATGAAAATCTTAAAAAAGATACTGATAAGGACATAAAAAAGTGGAAGGACAGACATCTCATACTCTTGGATCTGAAGAATTAACATAATCAAACTGGCAATTCTACCCAAATTAATCTACCTATTTAACACAATTCCAATCAAAATATCAGAGATATTCTTCACAAATCTAGAAAGACAATTATAGAATTTGTCTGGAATCATAAAAGACCTCGCATTGCCAAAGCAATCCTGAG